CCTTCTTCCCCTTCACACTCAGAAGTGCATCCTGTCCACTCACCCCCTGTCTACCTGCTGCTTTTGCTTTTCCCTATCCTGGGTGCCAGGGATCTTCAAAGCCACTCCTGTCCACTCCAGCCAGGCTGCGCAGCAGTGGGATCAGGGAGAAACAGTGACAGCAGCAGAGGGATAGACAGGGGAGTTCCCCCTTCTCATTCCTGGTTCTGGGGGGAATGGGCAGGGTGAAGAAATGCACTACTGCTGCTCTCCCTGTCCTGGCTGAGCCCAGTCCCTTCGTAGCCCAGTTGGAGTTGGCAGGAGGAGCTTTGAAGCTTCCCTGGCCTGGGACAGTGGGGAAACCAGTAACAACAGGTGAGGGAAGGGGGGATTCTTATCTGCTTTGGGTGCTTTAAAAATGTCCCCAGAGGCTCCAGTTTTGCAGTCTGCCCACATTGCTGGGTGGGGGTGGGGAAGGAGACTGGTAGTGGGGTGCAGCTACTCCTGCAGAAAGGGTGGCTGTTCCCACACTTCCCTTTGTCAAATTTGGGATCTGCCCTGGCTAGTGCTTATTGTTAAAGCAGTGTCACACTGTCAATCTTGACGCAGTTTATCCTATTATGCCTGTGAAGTTACATCATTTATTTAAAAATCACTCTAAGGACATATCAGTTAGGGAATTTTATGAAATTATGACTAACTTTGAAAGAATTACGCATTATTACTTGTTATTGTTAAAGGTTTCCAGAAGCACAGACCACCTCTCATTTTCCTTCACCCTTGCCTTGAAGTTTTAGATTTTGGGTAAAAAAAAATAAGCCTCAGCTGTAAATTTGTATGCTTGACATTCCTGTATCAGATCCTATCAGTGTTAACATGCAAAGTACAAAAAAAATCCATTATTGTATCTTTGCTTTATAAAGAAGGGACTATGAGAAGGAAAATCTTTGTTCCAGTAAAATTGCAGTAAATCTGCAAATAATACAAAGGACCACATTCTGCCATCTGTCTATACACAGCTCCTATGGAAGGTAACATAGTTGTTTGCAAATTAATGGCAAATGGATTGAAGTGCTGGAAAAAAAATGGAAAGGACTAATCCTGTCTACAAACTAGCTTCTCTCTCCAGATGTGTGTATTCAGCTTCCATGGATTTTAGTCATTGGGAATTAGATCTGTCTATCTGATTTTGGATTTATAAGTCCAAAATAAACATCAAGCCAAATCCTGTACTTTTTGTTCAGTTCCTACTCAGGAGAAGATCCATTACAAGTAAAGGGGTGTTTTCCTGAGTAAGGAATACAGTATATGACACCATGTTGGCATGTTCCTTAGCGCTCCATTCTGTTGGTGGTTTTATGAAAAGGTGGCTCTCATGCGCTAGCTAACTTATCAGCTGTAGAATCAACTCACAGACTTGGTGATAACCTCTGCTTTCTAGATGACAACTCCAGGGAGCTCAGTAACTGATTCAAGTAAAGATAGACAAGTTTTGGGGGGTATATTTTGTTATTCCAGCTGTAATATCAAAGGGAGTACACGTGGAGAGGACATGAGAAAGTAGATTGTGATGTCTTACTTCTTAACTTCAATGTCTCCCTAATAAACATGTTGTTTTGGCTATAACATGACGAGGAAAAAGAGTTGAGAGCTTTATTTAAAAAACTAAGCAATTATAGAATCAAAGTTCTGCTCAAACATGAATTAAGTTGCAGAGCGATCTCTGGAGCTGGACTGTTTTGTGTTGAATTGTTAGAAAAATATTTGATTTTCCCACAGTGCATAATAACTGAATATGTTTTATATCTGCATCTGTTAGCTCTGTCCCAGCTCCCACACTGACTACGTTGGACATTGAGCAGATTTTACTTCAAAAGACAACTGCAAAAGAAGATGAACTTAAAAAGGCATTTCAGACAATTGATACTGGTCAGATCCTGACAGTCACAAAAGGCAAATTCGGGAGAGTAGTAGAAACCTTTCTGTTCCCTCTTACAGAAGCACAGTTTGATGCTGTGCTGGCACAGATAGGTTTTGTTATCACTATATATGATCACTCAGGGCTCCTATACATTACAGCATGTTGGAGCAGACTTGATTAATCAAGTCTGCTGGGGCGTGGTAATTATCACGTTCTAGCAGACTCCGGTGTCAAGTGTATCAGCATCCCCGCACTGAAAAATGGTGGCAGGGTACTTTAAACTAGAGCTCGTCTGACAAGGTTTAGTTCAAAGCATTTCACTGCCATTTTTCAGCACAGGGACACCGATGCATGTGACACTCCAGGTGCTTTAACTAGCACAGCTCCCAGAGCATGGCTATAAACACCCTAAGGGGATGATCAGTGGCAGTGACAGGAGGATGAGGCCCAGTGTTATCAAAATTGTGATGGGTAGAGCCAATTCCTCCCTTCCTTATGTGAGTGGTTCTAGTGAAAGCAACAAAATATTTGTGCAAGGAAAGTGAACTGGAATTGGCCATTAGTATTACCTTTGAAAGGATTCTGTCTCTTCTGTTTCTTCAGATGTTAGGAGGAGTAACAATTTATTTGTAAAATCTATGATAAATAATAGCTAGTCAAATTGCAAAAAGTGGGTGCAGTTAATTGTTGAAGAGAAATTAAATAATAAACTCTTTGAAGCAGAAACCATAGATATTTCATCCACAGCAGGAGTAACTTAGCATACATTTGAGCACCATAATTAGGAATCTACCAAGAGCATACTTGTGAGATATTTGTGGAAAATGCAAAATCAGGCATTTTCTGTGAAAAATGGCGGGCTGTGCAAAAAATCACAGCTTGCTGGGGAAAAATAAAAACAACCTTACTGGCAAGCAGATGGGAGCTCTGCAGTCTTGGAGCATAGAGGGAAAGGGGAAGTGGAGGAGGGGTGGGGCTGCTACAAGCAGCCTGGGCTCTGCAGCTGGCAGCTGGGGTCTGCCTGGGCAGTAGGGCTGTCCAAAACAGCACCATTTTGCTTTGACTTCTGTTTCGACGTTTCAATGGAACAGTGTTTTGTTTTGAGTTTAGTTTTGTTTTGAAAGCACTGTTCCATTTCTTCTCGTCAAAACAGTTTCAAGGTTGTTTCAATTTCGCTGTTTCGAGCTTGAAATGAGACAAAACAGCATTGAAATGAAACAGCCAGCGAAATTTTGCACAGACCTGCTGGGCAGGTAGCTGATTGCAGGAACTCAGTGCAGCTGTTTGCAGGCTTCCCACTGCCTCCTGTTGCAGCTTAGGCTCAGTGGCCAGTGGCAGGAGCTTGCCCAGACCTGGGCAGCTATGGCAAGTAGCTGTGAGGCTGCAAGTAGCTGCACAGGGCTCCATGGAGCCCCAGCCCAGGTCCTTGCTGATGTGGGGTGCATGCGTGCCTCAGGGCCAACAGTGGAGGAGGGGCTGGGAGCAGCAAATCTCTAACCCCTTGCCCACCATCGGCCCTGAAGCATGCACGCACTAGCCGCTTGCAAGGAGCTGGGCTAGGGCTCTATGGTGCCTGGTGCAGCTGTTTGTTTGAGGATGGCCTGAAACTGTAGGTTAATTACCCTGATTATGTCTGGGGAAGCCATTAATTCACACACTTCTAAGTATGGATTAATGGCTTTCCATGGCTTACTCAGGTGAAGCCATGTGGGGGGAGGGGCGGGGACACCCTTGGCCATTCAGAGGCATGGTGGGGCCCTGCGCTCAGCCCACGAAAATAACGACCAGCCACTCAATCTGCCTGTGAAATTGGCCAATTGCCTCCTCAAGTCATGTAGACTCCTAAACATATAATGAATAAGTGGTGAGAAGAGATTGGTGTTTGCTATCTGGAAAACTGCACTCAGGGCAGAGTATACATTTTAAGGAAATCTGAAGACTGATGTAGACTGCAAATTTTTTGTGCCAGGCAGCAGCACTCACAAACAAACTGCTGTGCTGTCCAGCCAGACTCCCCAGCCAAACTCATAGACATGCCCAGGCAATATTGCAGTTAGCTAATTGGTCATTCAGCAGTGCAAATTAGCTTTCCTGCAGTGCTTCACAAAAGCAGTTACCCTGAGTCCATATAGAGAGGCTCCATGTGCAGAGCAGCATGAAATGTTGGAGGGTGCCACTGCCTAGCACAATAAGTTTACATTTTGGACATGGCTTGGTTATGTACTGGCTAAGTTTTTCAGAACAGCTAGGGGAGCCAGCTGTACAACTGTGGCTGACACAGCTGTGGAATTCAAGTGGAATAGTGTGCCTAAAGTTTAGGATTAGTCTTGAAAATCTTTGTTCATGAGGTCTGGGAACAGTCTGTAAAGGTTACACCTTTGTTAAAGTTGTCTGTCAAATACTGTCCCTGTGAAACAGTATTTTGAAAGACAACTAAACTATAAACCATTTTATTTACACCTCTAGACAATTATTTTTGTTGTTTTCAACATAAAACCACAATCATTTATGCTAATAAATTACAAAAGAGGTGCTTTGTGGATTTCCGGTTCTGACTCCTGAGGCCACAATTTCCCATTTTCAAGGTTTCACAAATTGTAGATTTTATATCTTTTCTGAACATGCTTGTTATTTTATTGCCTTGTCTGATAGGCAATGGCTGATTTCTGAACATTTATCACTAGCTCAGCTAATTAATGGTAAGGTTTTTGATTATGAAAAAAGTTATCAATATGCAGGGCCCATATACATGTGAAACAGATCAAGCATAGACATAGAACAACAAAAATATATGTTACAAGACTTGACTGGATGGAATATATTTCACACATGGATAAAGAAAATCATTGAGTTAGAGAGATGGAAAGTGTCTCAAGTC